CCCACTTTTCTGCTCTAAATAAAAAATTTATGACGGAGGAGACTCATCCACGACACAAAACTCTCCACTAAGATGCTAACTGGTTAGCAAGATGCTTCCCACAAACCGGCCACAACCAAACTTGCTTGCGAACCTTCCGCCACAACAATCCCGCCCCCTTGATAAATGACCAATCACAGTATCTTTATTCACTTGTGTAATTTCGTGCACCACTCGGGAGAATTTGGAAATGCAACGGTTGGAACAGCCGCTTCCCTACGACTTTTATAATTATGATAATAATTGAACTTTATTAATTTCACATTGGAGAAATTTCCCTCCACATTTAACCCATCCTCTGGGGGAGCAGTGTAGGGTTAAGGGATTTGCTGAGGAACCCAGAGTGCAGGCTGTGGGGATCGAACCGGGTACTTGCAACCTTCTCAGACTTCATCTGTATTTTAAACAGAATTAGTAAAATTATGATAAAATCTGTGATACTTTTATTTATGTAAGATGTTGTCCTATCCTGAGCAGAAACAACCGAGTGACGTAAAATTGTTAGGATTATTTCTGAAAGAAAAAGGGTTTGGTTTGATTACAGCAAACAGACCAGTTAAAAAAAAAAGATTTACTGAAGGAGTTTGACAACATGAAGCAAAATCTTGGCCGATTTTCGCCCCCAAAAAGCTCTCTGACCTGTTATTGTTCTTTAGAGAAATGAAGTTTTACTTTGCTGATTCCTGCGTAAAAATTAGCTGCATTCAGCCGTTACATTAGCTTTAATTACACGTCACATAAATCATAATATAATGTGTTTGTACATGGTTTTAAACAAGGTGTGCAAACAGATTGTTTCAGGAGACTTTAGAGAATTATTTTCTGCATAATTTAACATGCACATGTGGCCCCATCTGTATTAGTGTAATATGCATTTTTAATTGTCTTCTCTACCCACCATATTGTAGCTTTATTATGTCAACATAAGTTGCATATAGGAGTTTTGCACACTGCCTCAGAGAATTGCTGCTTTCGTATTTTTCTCCATTGCTTGTGCTCCAAGCCTCCATCTACGACGGCCCGATAAAGCCTTACCGTCAACGAAGTGTCTAAACATCCACTTTATGCTATTGAATGTTT